CAGGGGCTGGGGCTCGGGGCGCAGGCCTTGCCCTCCGCCGTCGCGCGCCCTACACCGGCCCGCCGCCCGTGTGGCTTCTTAAAGGCGCCTCACACCTGACCGGCTGGGGGCGTGGCCAGCGACGGGACGTGCCGCGGAGCCTGCAGATGATTGGGCATCGCAGAGCGGAGGCGGGGCGACTCCGCGCCCTGGAAGCGGCGGAGGCGGGGTCTGCACCTGCGGTGCGGCCCGCTGTCCTAACCCCGGGGGGCTCTCCGGTGCGCGTCAGCCCGCCGCGGTTTGAACTTAAGGGGCGTCTCCTCTGGAGAGTGCGCTGGGTGGGTCAGCAGCGGTGAGTCGTTACCGAACAGCCTCACGACCAAAGTTAACATTGTCTCTTGGGCTGTGTTTGGGTTTTGGCGTTTGCCTCTTCGCACGCTATGCCACCTACCTACATACAAGGGAAATTGGAAGGATTTAGAGGCCTTAATTACTTCAGTTCCTGCGTTCGGATACAATCCGAATACTTGGCACACTGCTTATGAGCGTTTTGGAAGACACTGCAAGGCTAAAGTCTTTGACAAACACGTTTGACGCACATCTAGAAAACGTTGCTTTTCAACTGTGCACAGCTGTGTTCACTTTGAACGAACTAAAACCTATCTTCTGTCTCCCTGAGCGTGAAGTGCCAAGGTAGGTAGACGAGGACACCTCTTAATTTCTCAGTTACTCAGGTTCTTCAAAATGTCCAGTTTACTTCTGTTCTCACCGCTGTAAGTGGAAGACACAGACTACTGTGATTAGGTTTAAATACTAGTGAGGAAAAAAAAAATTCAAGATGGATTAAGAGGCTTAGATACATGCCCAACAGCAAAAGGTAGACTGGAACCATTAAATTCTCTACAGAATGCCAGAAAAGAGCTTCTACAGCAAATAGGTAGCCCTGAAGCTGAGCCCTGAATCATGCATAGGATTTCACGGGCAAAGTCAAAAAAACAGTCCAGCTAGAGAAAACTGCATACACCGAGGGAAAGGTGTGCCTGCAGGATGAGAAACAGTCTAAGAGCAAAATGCTTTTGGAAACAAAGTTGAGCAGTGATATAGTTAGGCTCAGGGAATATCCCCTAAAGGCCAAGTGTGAAAGGCTTCATAGCCAGCCCAAGGGCATTCTTGGGGAGGTGGTGGAACCTTAAAGAGATGGTAGCTAACAGGAGATCACAGCAGGGCCTTGACAGAGACTGAGAAACCTTGGCCTCTTCCTTTATCTCTTTCATTTCTGGCCATGAAGTGAACGGGCTTCCCCTAGCAAACACTCTCACTCTGCCACAGACCCCAAAGCAATGATGTCAACCAACCATGAACTGAAATCTCGTTAGCCAAAATAAGATTTTCCTCATTTTCAGTTGATTATCTCAGGTATTTGTTATAGTAATGGAAAGCTAACCAAGGTAAACTGTAGGGAACCTGTCCCTGCAAATTTGTTCCCCTGACCCAGAGTGAATGAGGATGAAAGACAAACACCCACAGAGTCAGTTTCACATGTAGAGCAGCCTGGGAAGCTCTTGCCTCCAGGGAGCAGAGGAGCCCCAAGCTACCTAGCTCATTCTGCTTATATTCACTCGAGCGTGGGTACAAGCAATTAAAGTAACACAAGATTTATCCGCCTTCCATTATCCATTAATACATGCCCAGGTAAACAACTTGATCTCAGCTGTATTAATTTTTCCTTTGTGCTCACAGAGGAGACCAGTTAGGCCTCAATTCTCATCTGGTCTCCCACATCTCCCCCTTTTTGTTTTTACAATAATAATATTTAAATATCAATCACTGCCGGTCATCCCTAGGGGAAGTATGAGGTGCAGCCATTCCGTCCTTTGCTTGTGGTCTAGCCTCCAAGGACTGTATCTCCACCCACAGGTGCGAGGTATCCGCACTGGCTTTTTTCAAGAACACAGTCTTGTCTGACTGCCCATACCAACCCAACTGTCCCCATCTAAAAAAAGTACCTGTAACTGCCATGAGGGTCAACGAATGAACACCTTCTGGCCTCATCCAGCTGAAGAGGGTTGTAGTTGTGATTGGCAGGGTCACCCCCTAGAGAGCACGTCCAAAGCCCCTTGCCAGGCAGATCTCAATGATGGACAAGGTTTTCTGCCTCCTAGATAGTTCTCTTCAGTTGTCCTCTGGGAGAAGGTTCTTCTTGGTAAAGAAAGCAGAGTTATGCTCCTCCATGGGTACCCACCCCATCCATCCATTTCATACAACACCACAAGTAAAACCTGCCCCCCACATCAGCAGGTTCCCAAACAACCACAAGAACTAGCTTAAATTATCTGGGGCTATGCATAACTCATAATGTATCAAAGCCCATTCAGTGTCTACAGAAAGAAAAAAGTAAACTGCTGCTGAGAATCATTGGCGAACAATACATCCTCCACAGAACACACCATATAAGCTCAGGAAACTTCCTGCAACAAAATACATTCTCACCTTCCAAATGTTTTCCTTTAATTTTAACAACACTGACACAGGTTGGGACCACCTGTCATTCCCCGTGGCAAAGTCCTTTATTCCTTGTGACAATCTGCACCAGTTTCCATCAGTCTCTGAACATCCTTCCTGTAATTTCAGCACACTCACATTATTTTCCCTTAATTTCAACAATGTTGACACACTCAGCTTCCTTTAATTGACACGCTAATCCCCTGAAAATATTTTTCCTTGATCTCAACAATACTGACACAACACTGACAAGTTGCTGGCTGGTGACATCCTAAGTAGCTAAGTAGAGAGCACTTCCTCATGGGAGGTACTGCCAGATTACTGGTTCCCCCAAATCTATTCTTGACTAGTGGCTGCAGCCTTGACAACAGGTGATACAGTCTCCTTGTTCAAAAACCCAGACATCATGCGACTGAACTATAACCTGAATTTCCCCCAGTAGTCCAAATCAATAATCCCAGGTAGTACTTCAGTGCCCTACAGGTTCACCCTGCTTTTTCCTAAAACAAAACCCATGATTCTGAAGGGAAGAGGTCCTTAGATTTCCATGGGGATTTCAACAGGTTTAGCTCTGCCAATCAAGGTCACCCATTCAGCAGCAGGAAAGTCTAATCCTGCACTTCCTAAGGGTTTGGTGATAAGACACTCAACCATCCTGGGCAGACCCATTGAGGACTGGGCTTATAAGCCTGTCCTAGGGTATGTCTTCATTGTTTGTTGGGCCTGGAGCCCAGTCCACCTCTTGTTTCCCATCAGTAGGGTGCCATCTTTGTGCAATATTTAGAATGACATTGATTAGCCCAATGATTCTCTTTTTGACACCTAGGGCAGAGGCCCTACACCCTCCCCTCCAAGGGAGGGATGGTCACACCATCTTTTTTCTTATCTTAGGGTACATTGTTTAAAAATATGCCCCATTTTACCACAATCAAAACACTACTTTTGAAGCAGCCTGGGGGGGCAGGTGTTGAAGGGGTATTTTTGCAGGTGAGGTCCCCAAAGAAAGCATATGGAGCTGACATTAACAACTACAGCAAGCGGCAACATAGTTATTGTTATCGTATATATTAGCCATTAAAGTAGCACATTCATCTGCCTTCCATTATCCATGTCCAAGTAAACAACCTGAGCTCCCCTGTATTAACTTTTCCTTTGTGCTAACAGAGGAGGCCAATTAGGCCTCAGTTCTCATCTGGCTTCCCACAGTAAACTAAGGAATGGTCACACATGTGTACTAAATGAATGTGCAAGGATGTTATCCCAGTATTGCTGGAAACAAGGAAAAACTAAAAGCAAGTGTACACCAATAAAGGATTGATTAAACATATACTACATAACCTCTAAAGGTTCTGATGTTCACCTCTATTGACATTGAAAGTTGGTCACGAAATATTATTGAGCAAAGAAAGCACATCAAACAAAAAAGTATGGGGATGTAGCTCAGTGACAGCATGTTTGCCTAGGTCCTAGGTTCAATCCCACAAGTACAGAAAAAGGAATGGGGGGGGGGCATTAGACAAATCCCAATTGAGAGATATTCTACAAAATACCTCATAAATATTCCTTGATAGTATCAAAATCATCGCAAACAAGGTAAGTCTGAGAAACTGTCAAGAGGAGCCTAAGGAGACATGACATATCCTGGATGAAATCCTGGAACAGAAAAGGAATACTAGGTAAAAATCTAAGGAAATTTGAAAAAACTATGGACTTCAGTGGACTATAATGTATCAATACTGGTTCATTAATTATAAAAATGTGGCATCTAATGTAAGACAATAATAAAAGGGAGCAAGATGTGGTGGTGTGTACCTGTAATCCCAGCTACTCAGGAGGCTGAGGCAGAAAGATCATGAATTTGAAGCCAATCTAAGGCATATAGCAAGATCTTGTCTCAAGAACATGAAATAAAATATAAAATAAAATAAAGGGCTAGGGATGTAGCTTAGCGGTAGAATGCTAACCTAGCATGCACAAAGCTTTAGGTTCAATCTCCAGCACTGAAAAATAAAACTACTTCTTAAAATAAAATGATAGGTTTTAAAGATGAGTGAAAGAATATGGGCACTTTGTATTATTTTTGCAAAGTTTCTATAAATATGAACTGTCCTAAAAATAAAGTTTACTGTGCATATCATGATCCCATTCTTGTATGAATGTGTATATAACAATGTATGAAACATGATGCAGTTCAAAGTTTCACTTTATATATAATTATTACATATAGTATTTATACACTGATGAGATATTTTTAAATATATAGCTCATTCTCAAAATTTGTTCCTATTTATGTGTCAGCATTATTTCTGAGCATTAAGCAGTATACCATATTTTCAGAATAAAGTTCAACTTTTCTCAAAGGGGACTGATTTAGGAGCAGCAGTGACATAAAAGATTCAAAAGTTAGCTGGGCGTAGTGGTGCACGCCTGTAATCCCAGCACTCGGGAGGCTGATGCAGGAAAATCATTGTGAATTCAAGACCAGCCTGGGCTACAAAGTGAGCTTGAGGCCAGCCTGAAGTGCATAGTGAGACCCCGTTTCAAAAAGACCCCCCCCCAAAAAAAAGTTAATTCCCACAAAGCATTTGGAACAACGTCATGGACATACAGCAAGCTCTTGGGAAATTTCATCACTTACTACTACCATAATTACTATAGATAATATATTGGAGGGGTTGTTGTTGTTTCTTTTCTTCTTTTCTTTTCTTTTATGGTACTGAAAATTGAACCCAGGGCCTTTGCACTCAACTATATTCTCAACCCTTTTACTTTTTTATCTTGAGACAAAGTCTTGCTAAATTGCCCAGGCTGGGCTTGAACTTGTTGTCCTCCTGACTCATCACGGGTATGTACTACACTTGGCTAATTAGAGTAATGGAACTTTTTTTTAGTGCTGGGGATTGAACCTAGGGACTTGTGCATACAACATGCACCCTCTACCACTGAGCTGCCCAACTCCAGCCTGCAGGTCTTTTGTTTTTTGGTACCAGGAATCGAACTCAGGACCTCATGCTTGCCACTCAGGCACTTGTGCCGCTGAGCTATATCCCTGGCCCTAGCCTCCAGCTCTTTTGACTAGCCCTTCTAGCTGCTGCTTCCCTGATGATCACTTATCGTTTCTTGTGTACTGCTGTAATGACCTCCTAATTAGTCTTGCTGCCAATAAATTCTGCCTCCACCAATTCATCCTGTACCCTTTACTAGCTCAAACACTATTCTCCAGCTTTAAAGCCTGTTTCTCATTTCAGGAACAAGTATACACGTCTCCAAGCCTCCCTGCAGAGCCTGTTTCAAAAATAACCTCCTGCTCCAGTTTCAATGTGTCTCCATATACTGGAAACTTAATCCCCAGTGCAACAGTACTGAGAAGTAAGACCTGCCAAGGTAGGTCATGAGGGCTCTGCCCTTCATCGATGAGTTGATGCCAATTATGGGAGTGAGTTCCAGATAAAACGATGCGTTGTGCCACCTCTGCACACCGTGCTACACATGTATGTGCACACGCTCTCTTGATCTTGTCTTCTGCCCTGGGATGACATAGCAAAATGGCCCTCACTAGATGTGGAAAACCAGTCTTTGACTTCCCAGCCTCCAGAACTATAAGAAATAAATCTCTGTTCTACATAAATTAACTAGTCTCTGATGTTCTGTTATAGCAACACAAAATGGATGAAAACGTCTCCTCTTCCTTTTCCTGAAGTATGAAATACTAATCTTCAAGGCTCAATTCTAAAATGGAATTTATGTATAGGAAGGCTTCCTTTTTTTTTTTTTTTTTTGCTACTGAGGACTGAGCCCAGGACCTTTGCACAGAGCAACATCCCCAACCTTTTTTATTTTTTATTTTCAGACAAGGTCTTGCTAAGTCACTAAATTGCCCAGATTAGGCTGGACTCTGAAACCTCTAACCTTAGCCTTCCAGAGTGCTGAGATTACAAGGATGCTTTGCCATGCCCATTGTAGGCTTTTGCATTTTATTTATAGCAATTTTCACAGTTCAGAGAGCCATTTTCAGTCTCTTTAAAACTAGGGTAGAAATTTTCAGATAGCTCAGATCCTGTGAACTACAGCCCTACTATGAACAGTATAGGTGTACAACAAATATGTGCTGAACCAAACTGAATGGAGTTAAAGAATAAACCTAACCATAAAATATGAAATTGAGGATCGCCTACAGTTTCAATATTTTAAAACAACATGTGTTTATTTTCTAGTTAAAAGTAGTTCTTGTTTTTTGCTTTTGGTACTAGGGGTCGAATCCAGGAGCACTCTACATTCCCATCTCTTTTTATGTTTTAATTTTCTTTTTTTTATTTTTTTTGGTACTGGGAATCATACCCAGGACCTTGCCCTTGCCAGGCAGGTGCTTGTGCTGCTGAGCTATATCCATGGCCTGCCTTTTTGTTTTTTATTTTGAGGCAAGGTCTCACTAAATTACCCTGATGGGACTCAAACATTCAATCCTCCTGTCTTAGTTATTTTTCTCATGTTGCTGGGACAAAATACTTAACACCCAGAATTAAGGAAGGAAAGGTTTATTTAGCTTGTAGTTTGTGGCGGTTTCAGTCCATACTCAGCTGGCTCCAAGGCAGAGTGTCACATGGCAACCATTCATAGCAGCAGAAAACAGCAAAAGGAACAAGTGCAAAAGGGAAATGGAGAACCAGAGAGCAAGCCTCTTTCCCTCCCTTATATTGTATGCAGGTTACCCACCCCAGGGTGAGTGTAGCACTCACACCATAATCCCAGCATTGGACCATGGATCAGTCATAAACTCTAGAAGCCTGCCCCATGACTGCATGAGGCTTTCCAGGGACATCCACATACAAACCATAACATTCCACCCCTGGCCCTGCAAAGACTCCTGCACATCCTTTTATGCAAAAGGCATTTAGTCCACCTCTAAGAGTTGCCACAGTCCTAACAGTTTCAGCATTGCTGAAAAGTCCAAGTCCCAAGTCTCCAAGTTCTAAGGCAAACTCTTAGCTGCAAGCCCCTGTGCAAATGAAAAGTTAAACACTTCCAACATTCAATGGCACAAGATAAACAATACCATTCTAAAATGTACAAATAGGGGGATACAAAGGAATGGGACCAAAGAAAGTCCAAAATCCATCAGGGCAATCATTAAGTCCTGTATTTCCATGTGGAACATCCAAAGCAATCTGTGCTAAGTTGTGAGCTCCAAAGAGCTTGTGTGGCTCCAGGTCCATTGCACTTCTGGTGGTTGTAACTCCCAGGGCTTCTCTCTGCTCTGCTCAGTTCTTGCAGCTCCAGACGCTTTCCTTAGATGATCCATGTACCTGAATTTTCCAAACTTCTGGGTTCTCCACCACACCTTTGGCTTTGCGTTTCACACTGTCTGGCCTCCCAGGCCTTCTGAAATCTAGGTGGAAGCCTTCTTAACCTCAGAACTCTTGCATTCTGCAAGTGCCTAAAATCAGCACCATGGGGATAATGCCAAGGTCTGCTGTCAGATGGAGCAGCAGCCAGGCTTCCCTCTCTCTCAGCTGTAGGGATCAAGTGCCTGGATTGCTCTCTGAGTCCAATTCTGAGGAAAAAATTCTCTATGCCGCTGGCATTCTAGAACATAGTGTGGCTTCTGCCATTCTGGAACATGGTGTTCTGTGGCTTTTTCTTCATAGTGAAGTCTTTTACTTTTGAAGTTTTGAGGCTGCAAAGGGTGGAGACTTGCTGCTTCTTGTGATGCCCTTAGGCCATCTTTTATATTCTCCGGCTCCTTCTCAGCAATCAAGATCTCCTCAGCTCTACCTTTGTAGTCCACAGCTTTACTGGCCTTTTTCTGGCCAAACTCACAACATTTTAAAGCATCCCTGCTGGGCTCTTTGCTCTTGATTTGCAACTTAAATCTGGCTAAAAGCCCACACAACAACAGCCATGCCACCACCTCAACACTGGACTGCTTTGAAATTTCTTCTGCCAGATTAATTAGTCCTCTATCCTTAATCTCAGTCTCAGGCAAAATCTCAGGACATGAGCAAAAAGCAGACAAACTTTTTGCCAAGCCATAACATACATCGTCTGGAGCCAGTAGAGTCCTTCCCAGCAGAAACCTCCTGATCCCGGTCTTTACCAGCAGGATTTCTATCAGCCTTCTGTTCTTCTGAGCTCTGACCAGAATCTCCCATACAGAACAGCCTAAGGTGTTCCAGTGCTAGTCTTTCAGGTGACATCTCTGAACCTTTCCAAATTCTTCCCATAAGCTATGCCCCAAGGCTCTTGAACCACATGGTCAGATACAGTCATAGCAATGACCCCACTCCTCCAGAACCAAATTCTGTCTTAGTTACTTTTCTCTTGTTGCTGGGACAAAACACCTGACACCCATAATTAAGGAAGGAAAGGTTATTTAGCTCACAGTCTGTGGAGGTTTCAGTCCATATTCGGCTGGCTCCAAGGCAGAATGGCACATGGCACAGGGGCAGCAGTTCATAATGACAGCAAACAGCAAAAGCAACAAGAGCAAAAGGAACAAAAGGGAAAGGAGCACCAGAGAGCAGAATCTTTTCCTCCCTTATAGTGTATTCAGGCTACCTACCCTAGAGTGGGTATAGCACTCATATCCATAATTGCAGCATTGGACCATGGATCAATCATAAACTCTAGAAGCCTTCCCCATGACTACATGAGGCTTTGTGGGGACATCCAGACACAAACCATAACACCTCCTGCTTCAGCTTCCCTCAGCACTTGAAATACAGGCATGCACCACCATCCAGGGTTAACACATTCATGTTACAGAAATGCTGTAAAATGCAATAAGAGTAAAGTTATTTACTATAGAAGGACTGAAATAAATTCACTTAACTTTTACTACTTTTATTACGCATGTATTTATGTGAAATAAAATATGGCATAATATCGCCAGAATATTTAAGTGACTCTTTTGTTATTTTTTCCCAGTGTTGAGGATTAAACTCATGACCTTCCCACTGAGCTAGGTCCCCAGCCCTTTTTATTTTTTATGTTCAGTTAGGGTCTCCCTAAGTCACTAAGTTGGCCAGGCTGGCCTCAAACTCATTACCCTCTGCTTCAGCCTCCCAGAGTGCTAAAATTACAGGTGAGTGCCATCACTCCTGGCCTCTTTTGATTCTCAGTTAAAATTACTCTATCCAAAACTATGATAAACATACATAAAGAAGGCTGATAAGATAAAGGTGCCCAAAGGACAGCTAGCCCCCCTTAACTAAATTAGAACTCTGCTGGCAGCCCATCTTCAAAGGTCCTTGTTGCTCAGATCTGTAATCAGCAAACATACCTAGCAATTACTACACAGCATGAACCTGGGGAGGGGTTGTACAAAGTCACAGGCCTACTGCACATCCTTAAAACTTATTTTTCCCTGTGGATTTTAAAAACAAAACCAGAGTCACACTTTTATACTTTCATGCACTTGTGCCCCACCCCCTACCACACATGTTGAAGGTAGAGAGTGACAGTGTTTGCAGGGAGGACCTTTGAGAAGGTAACTGGGTAAAGTGAGATTCTCAGAGTGGACCCCAACCCAGTGAGGAGTGTGCAAATAAAGCAGGATGAGGACATACAAAGAGAGGCCAGAGGATGCAGCTGTCTGCAAGCCAAGGAAAGAGTCCCAGGAGAAATCAAATTCTATGCTGACACTTTGACCTTGGACTTTCTGCCTCCAGAACTGTAAAAACATAAATTTCTGTTCTTTGGGTCACTCATTCTGGGGTATTTTGATATAGCAGCCTTACCAGACTAATATACACATTACTGCTAATAATAAAACACAATTTTGTATCCTACATTTTTATTTAACTTACGTATTACAATTTCGCATATCATCAAATTCTCTTCAAAGACATGCTAATGAGTAGAAACCATTCTACTGTAAAGATAGATCAGAATTTAGTTAAGTGTTTCCCTGTCATTGTGAGGCAGGGGATCGGGGAGTGGTAAAGCAGCTGGGCAAGTGGGTGCCAATAAAGTGGCTGTCAATATAGGAGAACCAGGAAATGTGCATAAAACCAGTGCCCCTAGCCCTGCAGCTGGGACCAAGGCTATCTTGTTCTTTCCACAAGGATCCAAGCAGGTTTTTGATGGGATGGTCTAGACTTGACGTAAGCCCTAGGAGTAGGGTTTATAAAAGGCAGCAGCCATTGACCTGTGGGCCACTGTGCCCTCTTTCACAGTGGTCCCCTCTTACCCCATAGCATGTACTTCTTTTCCTACTTTTAATTGGCCCTCACTCACTCTGCAGAGCTTGATTCTTTTCCTAACTTTAATAAATGTAAAAGCTGGCTACTGTTTGTACTTGCCTTGACCAATTCTTTTCTCAGGTCAGAAAGAACACAGAAAACACATCTAGCAGGAGATTCCATAACCCCAGAGTCCAGTAACAATTGTGTATACAAGTTGTCCTGCATTTTTCATTATTATGGATAATAGTGCTATGAACAGTATAAGTAATTACATACAAAGTAGGAAAATATGGAAACATATTTGTGAATTAGGGGAAGAGGGTTGAAGGGCAGGTTGGAGAATGGGGAAAAAAAGAATCAAGATATATCATGTACAGGTACAAGTTCTCTATGATGAATGTGATCATTATGTATACCTAAAATGTACCAATAAACTTAATTAATAAAAGAAAGTTTGTATCTTTGACAATCTTGTAGGTTGGAGTTTTAGATATAGGGTTACCAGTGAAAATATATGAACATTTTAAGGGCCTAATATATGCTAAAATTTAAAGCAACTTTGTCAGTTCACACTCTTGGCAGTATTGTGTGCAAATAACCATATATTAATGTATCCCAAGAAATGCTGAATAATATGATTATTTTAAAAATCTTTGCCAATTTAGGATTAAAATGAAATTGCATTTTTTTATTATTTTAAGAAATAAAAGAAGGAAAACATATTAACAAACAGACATCCATTTACAAAATAGCATGAGAACAACACAAACAAAACAGAGTTACAGACAAAGTTGTAGGAAATTAACCATGGTTGTTGTATTTACTTATTGATATCTTCAAAGTGATTTCTCATATACGTATATTTTCCAACATTTGGTTATCAGTGAAGATCATATTTATTGACTGATCAACTTGTACTTTCTTTTTTCGTAATTATCTTCCTGATAATCATTCTCTACATTTTCCAACAGAAAATTTTATTTTTTAAAAAATGGTATTTATGAATATTATTTCTTTATTTATTTGATTAATCTCAGACGTTCCATTTTTACATTGTTTTGCTACCCTATGCTGTTGTCTGTTTGGGGGAATGAATTTTTTCTCCATAAAAGTTCTGTTTACTGCTAATAAAGAAAAGGCAATTAAGTTTTTGTTATTTCTATTTATTTGTGTTTAGGGGGGTGTTTTTGTTCTTATTTTTGAGACAGGGTCTCACTATGTAGTCCAGGCTTGAACTCTGTTCTCCTGGCTCAGGCTCCTAAGAGCTGAGACTAAGAGACATGTGTCACCAGGACCATTAGCAATTAAGTTTCTTTTAAAATCTGACCCTGCTACTACCATCTACAATATTTCTTATAAGTCTGGAGAAATTTAAATATAGCACTTCAATTAAATGGCTTTACTTTTTCCAGTTTGGTCTGACACTGACAATAATGCTTGCTCCACTAGATTAAGATAATTAATAGGGCTACAGGTGTATGCAGCTCAGTGGTAGAGTGCTTGCCTAGTGTATGAAAGGGGCAACACTAGAAAACATAGAAAATTAGCACAAATATTTAAAACAGGTTGTTATAGCCAGCTGTGGGAGAGTTTTCCTGTAATCACAGCAGTTGGGAGATGAGGCAAGAAGATCACCAATTCAAGGGTAGCCTGAGATACACAGCAAGACCCTGTCTCCCCAAAACTAAACCAAAAGCAGATTTTTATCATTTTCATAGTTTGGATTAGATCCAAAACATCTTCCATCTTACTTAGATTCTCTGTCTTTAACAGATACATTTTAGCTATATGTACACACTTACCCATTTTACATTTCTAATTCAATAACTTCAATACTTCCTTTTTCCTAATACAATTTCTAACACAATGACTTCAGTCCTCAAATTTGGGGTGAGGGGTTATAGTTTTTTGTTTTGTGTTGCTTTGGAGTTTGGTGAAGTTGTTTTGGTTTTGCTTTTTTTTTTTTCTTGGTTTTGCTTTTTGTAGGACTGTTTTGTTTCTGGACACGGGGGTCTCACTATGTACTCCAGGCCAACTTCTAACTAAGTAGCCCAAACCCTAGTTGAACTCACTATCTTCCTGCCTTGCCTTCCCCAATGCTGAGATTACAGGTGTGCACCTCCACGTCCAGTTACAGAGTGAATTCAAGCCTGCTTTTTCTCTAAAATGCCTATAAAAGCCAATGCTATGTATCGCGTGACTTCCTGGGCCCTGTGCTGTGTTGCTTCTGAAGAACAGGGCGGAGATGACCCTAGGCTCCTGGAAACCCCATGGGCTATAGCCCGGGCATCTCCAGTCTGGTGGGTGTGACGTGGGCTGAGAGCCTGGTCTTCAGATCTTTGTGTCCAGAACCCAGTTGTTTCCTATCACCGCAGCCGTTCCTCTAGGGAATGATTCAGTCTAAGCATCTTCACACAATAAAACTAATTGAGACCTTGCATTATGGCTTTTTAGTGTGATTTCATTTATTGTCAGGCCAAGCTGAGTACTCTGATGGGCTGTTGTTGTGTGTAGTGCCTTATTTATCCGGCGGCAAGGTCTTTGTGACAAAAAGTGTTACTCTTAAAAGGCTCTTAGGGAAACCTAAACCAGGTAAAATTGAGTAATCTTCAGAGAAAATGTCTCCAAGTTATGCTACCCTGACGCTCTCCACTCCTCCCCACAATTCCTGCTCTAGAAGCTGGAGCAAGCTATCACGGCAGAAGCCTTGGAACTAGAAAATAAGCTTCTGTCCATGCATTTCTGTGTGGTCGTGGCCCAGTCACTTGCTTTCAAGAGCTTTTCCACTGATTGTCCTGGGGATGCCTCAAACAATTCTTCAGTATCCAATGCATCCGCCCCTTGCTCTGTCATACCTGTAGGGCTGGCATTACCTCAGGTGCCCTGAAGTGCATGTCAGGTGTGTTTTCGTGTCAGTAATGAGGTTTGGAAAAACTCCTTCTAGAGTCGGTGCCATTTTGATAAATACTGTATTCTGGAACAGCTATGGTGTAGGGACCTAATCAGCTTCGTTCATAAAGTGACACCGTCTGAGTTTAGCGAGTATGTCCTATTGGTGGCCTGTGGCTCCCCGTGCTTTGTCCATCTATCTCAGGTGTTCCTGAAGTGTAGCTGCTTAGCAAAGGTCTGTCAAGTACAGGGCCCCATCTTTAGCACAGGCCCTTCCTGATGTTTGCTGAATATTTGATTATTTACATTTGGTGACAATAATCTCTTTTCATGTTTTACTGAAATTTAAGAGGGCTTTGTGGTTTTTTATTTTAAGTTTTTCAATCTTTTAAAATCTTTATTTATTTTTTTAAAGACAGCATTGAAGGAAAGAGATTTGAATTCAAATCCTGGCTCAACTCTCCCAAGCTGCTGGCCCCAGGTCCCGAGACTGTGGAGGAGTGACAGTAGGATACAGGACAATCGAGGGGATGCTGGAAGCCCTCTGGGACCCGTGCCTTCCTGTGAGGTGCTGAAGTCATTGCTGTAGCTGGAAGTGTCCTTAGTTATAAACTGTTCTTGAAATTTTGTATTCCCTGAATCATACAATATTATCTCTTAAAAAAGGATCTTATGAGCCTGGCATTATCGAGAGCCATTCTACATAACTTTGGGGGGGAAATCATTTCATAATTAAATTGTGGTGAAGGTTTGTCTGGGGCCTAGTATCTCGCTGTGTGAGCCGCTGCGGTATGAGGAAACATAACTCCCTGTGAGTCCACTCACAGTTGAGGGTTCAGCAGTCGCATGATGCTGTGACCTCTGGGGCAAGATTACATCAGCTGAAAACATCCTGGTTCCTTCAAAACCGAGTAGAAATTTTTTTAAAAAAAGTTTTGCCTGGGGGGAGGGGCAAACTCCTTATTAATCTGCTAGCTCTTCCCACCTGCTATTGTAGAAACACTTTGCACATCCCACTGTCTTCACCAACATAAGCCCCTCATCACTATTAGATCCCCACTACCCTCCACGTCACCTGAAATGATCCTCATCGCACAAGACCTTCATCAGTGCAAGATCACTGCCACCTCTGCATCATCCGATACTCCATTACTGTGTGCACCCAATAAAATAGCGTCATTGGCTCAGAGTGGCTTTGTCTCTGCGCATCCTGAGGCACTGACCCCAGCCTCCCTTCCCCGCGTACTTTGAACGTGTGTGTGTCTCTGCCTTTCTTTCTTTACCCCTCACCATGCCTCTCTCTAGGCAGATCAGGGGACTGACTGGCCCCCCAAATGGCACACTGCTACACACCTGTAATCCCAACCACTCATGAGACCGAGACAGGAGTATTGCAAGTTATTGCCCAGCAATTTAAGAAGATCCTGTCTCAGGCCGGGGATATAGCTCAGCGGCACAGCGCCTGCCTGGCAAGTGTGAGGTCCTATCCAAAAACAAAAAAAAGAAAATCCTGTCTCAAAATTAAAAAAAAAAAAAAATATATATATATATGTGTATATATATATGTATATATATATACTAAAGGGCTGGGGATGTAGCTTAGTGCTCCATGGATTCAAGTACTAAGTGCTCAAGTACTTAGTGCTCCAGTACTAAGAAAAAGAGATCTTAATATTTTTCCAACCACTTGCTTATGTAAGTATCTCTTCCAAAGCACCCTAGTGAAACTAAATTGCTATAATGTGCAAGAAGTTGTATCCGTATTTGTAACAGCCCACGGTGCCATGGAGTCAGTATTGTTTAACAATGCAGGCACAATTACCCCTTTTCTGCTCACCTTCCCAGGGGCTCTGTGTTTCACAGATTCAATGCAAACAAAGGCTGCCAGCTTGGGTGGAGAGTGTGGGATGGCATCATGAAAATGTGTTCTCCCAAATCACAATGGAGGTGAAGCTGGGCATGGTGGCGCACGCCTGTAATCCCAGCACTTGGGAGGCTGAGGCAGGAGAATCGTTGCGAGTTCAAGGCCAGCCTGGGCTACAAAATGAGCTTAAGTCTAGCCTGAACTGCATAGCGAGACCCTGTCTCAGAAAGACAAAAAAAAACCTAACACACACACACAGGGGAGGTGAATACCAGAGAGGAGGTTCACGCAGACAGGAAAATCTACCTAAAACACTAGGTAGGAAGAACCTCTGGCATCATGGATTCCTGTATTTTAAACATGTTTTACCATGAACCCTAGTTAGAAACTATGCTCAACTCATAACAGCCAGGAAGCAAGAGAGTTGCAAAGAATCAGGGAGGAGAGGCTCAAGGACCAGACACACTCTAAAAGGTCATTTCCCATAACCCATCCGCACAGATGCAGGTGTGTTTTACTAATCTTCTTAGTCCAATCAAATGGGCAGTCAAGATTAATGATCACAAGGCCCCCATTGTCAACTCAACACTCAAACCCAGCTCCTTAACCCATATTTGATCTCCAAATAAAGACAATTATAGGCTCACAGTTCTGCCCAACATGATGCAGCTAACCTGCGTTCAGCCCAAAATGCATTGTTTCCTTCCCTAAAGCCTCAGTAGTTCCAACATTGTACAAAAAAGTCCAAGTCCAAAGGCTTCTCTGAGACTCAAGGCAGACTCTTAGCTGTGAGCCCCTGAACGATTCAAAAAGCAATTTACATGTTCCCAAGATAGAAGGGCATAGGGTAAACATTCCCATTCCAAAAAGGAGGAACAGAGGAATAGAAAGGGTTTGGACCAAATAATACCAAAACCCAGCAGGACAAACGTGAAGTCCTGTAGCTCCAAGTCTAGCACCCAGGACACACAGTGGTGAGATGTGAGTTCCAGAGGGCATGTGTGCCCCCACATCTATGGCCTTGCTTGTTGCCGCCCACACCACCTCTCTCGGGCTGGCTCTCCTCACTATTGACAGATTTCCTTGGCAGATGTTCCATGCCCCTGGCATCCCCAACTCCCTGAGTTCTCCCTGACAGCTTTGGCTTCCCTCCCACAGCTTTATGCATTGCCGCCTCAGGGCTTCCTAGAAAGTCACATACTGCCTGCCTCCCAGGCCTTCCTTTGTTGTCTGGGTAGAAGCCTTCCTCAATCCACAGTTTCTGTATCCTACATGTCTGCAAAACCAGCATGATGTGGATGACACCAAGGTCTGCTGTCAGCTTAAGCAGAAGTCTGGCCACTTGGACAGTGGCTACAGTGGCCTCTGAGTGCCTGAATGGCACAGCATGGAGAAGGAAATCCCGGAGAACCAAACTCCTAAGTAGCCCTGCTTGTGCAGGGGGCCCTGAGGTTCTTTTCTCAAAGCAAAACCTTTCTGCGAAGTTTATACTTATGCACCCTTGATCTTGTGGTGAATGGGACCTTGTGATTTCTGAGATGCCCTCAAGGCATCTTTCTTCTTGGCTTGGTGCAAAGTACTTAGCTTCATTTTGATGGCACTATTCTCTTCAGCAAACACAAGTTCTTTGGCTCCAACTTTATGCATATTTCTTTTCTAGCCAAATGTTGTTTTTCAAACCTTTATCCTATGCTTTTTGTTTCTGATTCTCACTATAAATCTGGCTAAAAGTAACCAGAAATACTCATGACACAACCTGAATATTGGGCGGCACTGAAATTTCCTCCACCAGATCAATTAGTCCATCACCTTTAAACTCAGTCTCACACAAAGTTTTAAGGTGTGGACAAAATATAGACAAATTCTCCACTTGAATATAACATGCATGGCTTCTAGTCCAGTTATCAATAGAGTCCTCATTCCTGTCTGAAACCTTATGAACACAGTCTAGCATTTACATTCCTATCAGCATTCTGGTCTTCTAAACTCATACCAGAATTTCCCATCAAGCTCTGCTTGCAGCAGTCTAAGATTTCTCCAGCCCAGTTCTCCAAACTTTCCCAAAGTCCTCCCACAAACCAATTTCCAAGGCTTCTGAACCATACTGTCAGGTATGTCACTGCAATGACCCCTCTTCTCTATACCAATTTTCTGCATTAATCAGCTTTTTGTTGTTGTGACAAAATACTTGACATGCATACCTTCAATGAGGAAAGGTTTATTTTGGGTCACAGTTTCAGAGACTTCAATCCACAGTTGGCTGTCTCCAAGGCAGAAACCACTTGGCAGAGGGAAGCTCCTCAATTCATGGCAGCCACAGCACTCAGAAGGCTGAGGCAGGAGGATTGCCACAAATTCAAGGCCAATCAGGGCTACATAGTGAGTTCAAGGCCAGCCTGAACTACATAGCGAGACCCTGTATCAAAAAACAAAACAAAACAACTCATGGCAGGCAGAAAGCAGAAAAGGTAAGGGAAGAACCAGAGAGAAAGAGGCTGGGACCAGATGTATTCCCCACATTCACATCCTTATGATCCACCCAAACGCAACCAGAAGGGTGCTTTACTAAACCTAGGTATCTTCCAAGCCAATCAAGCTGATAATCAAGGTAACCATCAACAAAAGTCCCTGGGACCTCTTCTCCCGAAGGCCTAACATACTTGTGATCCCAGAAGAGTGCACCCTATAGAAGCATATAGAAACATTTTTTCTTCTTTAGTTTTATATTTGTGAAATTTTTTTCTCCCAATTAACTAAACAACCCCTGAGAAAGGTCACCTGAGACTGGCCTCAGGAAGCTAAGATAAAGGATTTTCTTTCCACAGGGAGAGATGGGATACAGGGAGAATCTCATGGAGACCTGGTCCAGGACTAATTCTGGTAAGACTATCCCATCTCTCTCCTTTACTCCCCTTTTCCTGACCTAGATAATGGTTGAGAGTATGAGGGTTTTTTTTTTCTTCTCTCTAATTAAAAAAGTCTTAGTGAGATTGGCACTATCTTATATTCAGAATAAGGTAGAAAGCATCATTGCCCAGCCCTTGTTATTTAAAGGAGTCAGGAAAACAAATACGCAAACAAAGTTAAGAATCTCTCTTGGTTGCTTGTGTTTGTTTCCATAGACAATATTTATGAACATGAGGAACAAGGCCATGAGATATAAAGGAAAGAAAATGGCTAGAGAAGACAGGAAAATTGACCTCTAGCTTATGAAAACACAAAACTCAAGATTGGGAAAGTTTTATTTCTCACTTAATAGAAAAAGGATGTGCAGTTGCTCTAAAGGAGTTGGATTTGTTTTTCTTTAGCATTCCACAATATTTCTCTCAATTCCTCTCTCTCTTCCCCACCCACATTCCCACTCCACCTCCATTCACCCTCAAACAGTAAGATATAAGACTAAGATACTGAATTTGAGACATAAAGATGGAAACCAAATCCCCATGACTAGCAGACCAGAGCAACATACCAGACACTTCTGCAGAAGATGCTACATCTTACTTCTCTGTCTCTACTCAGAACCAAGGGAAGTCCCTACCTGGCACTTGGTAGGTGCTCCATATATCCTTATGGTACGAGTAAGTGGCATACATAAAGAACAAGCAGAAGATGTGGAAAATCAGCTCAGACTCTGAATTCCATCTTCAGGACCAGGAGACCTGAATTGACAGCCAGGAGAGAGGACTGAGGTAGACTCATAATACGTAGATAGTCAGTCACAATCAGAATGACATAAAACCCCAAAAGATTTTAAATTTTTTTCAGGGAGTTTTGGGTAGTAAAAAAAATTTTTAAAGGAAAGCTTCTAGAAAGCCTCCCACCCCAGCCAACCCCAATCAATCTCTTTGCTTAATCAACCTCCTTAAAAAGGAGGGAAAGAGAAAAGGGGGGAGGGGAGAGAGAGGGAGGAACGGAGCAACAAGGGTAGGGAGAGGAGGAACAAAGGGAGGGAGGCTGGGCATGTAGCTCCACAGTAGATTCCTTACCTGTGAGCACAGGACCCTGGGTTTGAGTCTAAGCACCACAAAGCAGGGAGGGGTGAGGAAATAAAAGAATGGCAGAAGACATACTTTCTCTGGTTAACATAAAATGTACTTCTTCCCTTATAGGTTGGGTGTGCTTTTATTTTCTTTTTCTGTACTGGGGATTGAATTTAGGGCCTTTGTGCTGAGTTATACCCCCAGTCCTTTTTCTTTGTTTTTTCATTTGAGACAGGGTCTTGCTAAACATTAAATTGCCCGGCCTGGGTTCAAACTTAAAAT